GGCTGAGAGACTTCAAAGAAGTGATGACTGGCCCAAGGTCACCCAGCAGCTGCATGTGGAGGAGCGGAGATGCGAACCCGGTTCCCCAGATTACGAGACTACCGCTACACCACTGGCTCTCAGATTAATACACACTGGAAAACACTGACTTATGTTCTTGGCTATGCTTTTCCCATAGCCACAGTCTCGGATTCAATCCGAAATCAAGCAAGGCACTCTCTGTCTGGCTTCCCAGCCTTCAGCTTTTCAGTTTCTAGCTTACATCGCTCCACTCTGGCCTTTGTCCTTCTACCAGCCAGCTGAGGGAGGGGGGCTCACCCATTTTTTATCTCTCTCAGAGCCACTCCCTTTGTTTCCTTAATGGCCCGTTACCTCACCAGGAAGCTCCTTGTATATTTTAACACTTCTTGGATCCAGGAATTAGAAGGGTATTGATATAGACCCTACCTGCCCCCACCCAAAAAAACACCTCATAACAAATGGTTAAGAATGAAGACTTTAACCAAGAAGGAGATATATAAGCAGAATTTTTAATAGGCATCAAGACTGGCTTTAAAATGATGCACTATTGACATATGAACAGGTAAAGCCTCTCCGCCCCCCCCATCCAGTTTTTACAGATCTAAAACTTTTGTGATCAATCAACAGAGACAGAAATGTAACTTAAATTGAGAGAAAGCTGAATTTGAAAAATCTGTTTAAACAAATGGCAGGCGGCAGAGTTAAACTAAAATATAAGATATCTTTTTTAAAAAAACTTTTATTACATTTTTGAAATTTACAAAGAAAAAATAAAAAGAATAAATTGATCCTAAATTGCATATTCTGAGATAAGAAAAAAATAGTACAAAATACATAGTAGAAATGTATAAATATCTAAGATAAATAGGACAATGAAAAAGAAAATAGCACAAAAATTAATAAAAAATCAAAACGAAACAGAAAAAATCAAAACGAAACAGAACATTATTTATCAAAAACAACATTATTTAAGGAGTACAAACCATAACTTGAATATTCTATGCACAAAATCCTAAAAAGAAATTACCTTCATACTGGTTTGAGTTTGAGTCCTTTATAAATTTGTTGACTTCCCTCTATCTCTTTGCAGTTTCAACTCAACTATTGCATTTAAATTATATGTATTTAATTGTTTGTCCGGACACTATGAAAAAAAATCCTTTTCTGTGAAATTAATCTAAACACAGCCAAGTGTTGTTATTGGAACCATATTTTATTAGGTAATTTTTAAAGCAATCCCATTCTTTTTTAACCTTTTCTCCTGAGTTGTTTCATATTAACTCTGTCATTTTGGCGAGTTCTAAGTACTCGCACAACTTTAACTGCCATTTGTCTTTTGTTGATGTTGACTAGTTTTTCCAATATTTTGCTGCTTTCCAGGACTCTGGCTGCTGTTATCGCATAAAGAAACACTCTTTTACTTTCGTTTGGGATGCTTATTGTTAAAATGCCTAATAAAAACTCTTCTGGTTTCTTTAGGAATGCATATTTTAGCTTTTTTATGAAATTCCTAGTAAATCATGTCCCAATTTTTTTTAATTAGGGGACAAGTCCATCACATGTGGAAAAAGGTTCCTTCCTGTTGTTTGAATCTCGAACACTTATTAATTTTATTTATTTTGGCTAATTTGGATGGGGTCAGGTACCATCTGTAGGTCATTTTCATAAAATTTTCTTTAATCAGATAGCACACTGTAAATTTTAAGGTCCCCCCCCGCAGTTCTTCCCATTTTTGCATTTAAACTGGGTATCCGAAATCTTGTGCCCACTTTACCATCACTTCCTTCACTTTCTTCATCTTTCAAATTCCAATCCTATATATATATATATATATATATATATATATATATATGATAATATCTTTTTGATAATATCTTTCTATTATTTAATAATAATTCTTTCTCTAAATCTGATATTTTTGTATCAAATCCATTCTTTTTTGGTCTATTTTAAAGATTTCATTTAGATGATAATATTGTAACCAACTTATATCTGTCTCTTTTAGTTCTTCATATTTCTAAAGTTTCAAGTTGGTTGTTTTCTTCCTCTAATATTTCCTTATATGTTAGCCAATTGTTTTCCATAAAAAATATAAGAGATCTTATCAAACTGTCTAAAAAAAGAGAGAAATGTTTATAAACTAAAATAAAATGGAATAAAAACTTGTGAAGGATTAATCCAGAAGAGGTGCTATGCATTGGCAAGAGGTTCATGCTTTTCCAGAACATTGCAATCTGTTCATTTGTTCATTCATTTTTAATTTCCCCAATCCATCTGAAAATGTTGGGGTGACCTATCTGCTAAAAAACATTCTTTTGGGCAATGCAATTTTATTATGTACTGTATAGATGTTCTTAAACTTTGTGGATGTTATCTATAATGCAATGACTTTGTTTTCAAAGTCTGATGGTTTTATCAGTATCTTCTTAAAAGAAAAAAATTGACTATTTTACGGAAACCACTTACAGATTTATTTATGGATTAAACCATGTATAGACTTTGTAAAATAAATCTGTACTCTTATGTGAGGGAGGGGCATGACCACCCCTTGTGCAGAGTGTTGCCCGGGAGGATGAATATGCAAATGAGGAGCCTGGCAAGCTGGAACTGCGGGTGGAGGGACGTTATGAGACCCGACAAGGAGACAGTGCCTTATGACAGATGCAAAAGCAGTGAAGGAGAGATCGCAGAAGGCTTGAGAGGAGCTGGCTGGGAGACTGACTAAGCAAATGGAGGGAGGGAGGTTGGGGCAAAACAGATGGAGGATCACTGGAGTTGTGCAAGGAAGGTGGGGGAAAGACAGGGAGGAGAGGAGAGGAGTTGCAGTGTAGTAACAGGAAACTAAGGAAGATGTTAAGGAGACAGGCTGCCAAGGAGGCTAGAAAAGGCAGGGAAGTGGGAGGTGATGCAGTCAGATTGCAGGGGGTTGTTCCTGCCTCTGTGGTGAACCAAAGGAACAGCAACACACAGCGAAGTCTTAAATTTTTATTCTATGCTGGAGCAGTTCCTCATCCACTGATCACCATCCCTGGTGAAGCATCTCAGACTCCCTCGCTATTAACATTCAGGAGGAATATAAAAACCTTCTTGCTCCCTCTTGCTTACTCACCCCGGCAACCTTGGGATTATTAATTGTGAAGGTATGTGGCTTTTTAAAAGGGGGCTTCTTAATTGCTTTTAAATGTTTTGCTTTGAACTGTGTAGTTTTGGCTATGGTGTATGTTGTCTTGGATTTCTCTGAGAGGAAGGGCAGGATAGAAATTGTATTAGTGGCAGTATTAGTCTGAGGGGAGCTGACTGCTTTTAGGAGGTTATTCAAATTGTTTTTAGAAGTTGTTTTTTTTGCAAAAGAAATAAGTTTGAATAGTATTGTTTCAATATTGGTGTGTTTGGCTGGGGCCGGTGGGAGCTGTTGTCCTACAACGTCTTGAGGGCACCAGGTTGGCAAAGGTTGGTCTATGCCAACTGCCCATGGCCCTCCAGAGTTCCTGCCTGGGAGTCTCCCCCAGCTCCACCTGGAGATGCCAGGGATTAAGCTTGGCAGCTTCTGCATTCAAAGCAGATGTTCTGCCATTGAGCTACCGACCTACACTGTAGGCTGGTGAGGAAGAGAGAACACGGGAAACTGCCCAATATTGAGCCCACTCACTGGCCCCAGCACCATCAACACTAACTGGCAGGGTTCATGAAAACTCTGCATTTGAATCGCGCACATTTCGGGTGTAGTTTCTGCATAAAAATGACAGAGGGATGCTGGGAGTTAGAAACATAGGAAGCTGCCTTATACCGAGCCAGACCATTGGTCCATCTCACTCAGTGTTGTCTACACTGACTGGCAGCTGCTCTTCAGGGTTCCAGGCAGGAGTGTTTCCCAGTCCTTTCTGGAGACACAAGGGTTTGAACCTGGGACCTGGCAAAGCAGATGCTCTATCACTGAACGTCTTTCCCCAAAAGTTGATTGAGTCTGTCCATCTATCTCAGAGCTTTCCGAAGTGTGTGTCGCAACACGTTAAGTGTGTCGGCTGCAGTGTGTAGGTGTGTTGCACGAACGTTCCCTTCACTCCTCCTGAGGCTGGGAAGGGATTCGTTTCACCTCTGGTTTGCTAGTAAAACTGAATTAAAAACATTAAACATTTATTTGCCTTAACATTTCTAAATGCGGTTTTCTATAAAGAAGACATCACCATTATCTCCACCCCAAGCACTTGTTGGAGTTACACATTGTCTGCCATATCGATTTGCTGTTGTTTAGGGAGAGAGCTGTTTAAAAGGTGAAGGCAACGGAGACAGGCAAATCGTTCTTCCTGTCCCCAGTTGAAGAATTTCCCTAGCGCGGAAATGTTTCAGGCTCCTGTTTCAGCAAAAAAATAAACTTGCTTCTTTCTGAATCATTTCAAACAGATCCATTGGGCTTACTCCTTTTTTCTCTTGCTCCCCCAACCCAACATTCTGCACCCAGGGTTGGCTACAATCGCATCCATTATGCAGAGCATGTTAGCTGCCTCCATTGGTGGATACTTGAATGGCAGTGGTGATGGCAGCCTCGCCAGCTACTCTCCTTCAACCCTCTCTCTGGTGTTTCCCATTTGGTGGAAGACAGGGCTGTGTTTACCACATGACCTGGCTTTCACCTGCCCAAACTAGCCTGCAGCCCTGAGGCGTGATGGTGGGTGCCAGTTTTGAAGGAAGATTCAAAGTGTCAGGCTTTTGTTTCTAAAAGGATAACTGGTGTCATCTTGCTCCTTGCAACTGGCAGCAAAATATATTCAGCAGGCCCGGATTGATTCCCTCGTTACTTGATCCTGCAGAAATTATAGGGACCCTGAGAGTCATGCCTGGTTCTGTGGAGCTTTTATTTTTTTTGAAGCAGGCATTGTTACAGGATTCAGCATTAACCACTGAAACAGAGATCTCTTTCCATAGCCAGAAACATGCTGCAGGCAACAAATGGTGTAAGAAATATAGTCTACAAGATTACAATATTTTCAAATCATTTTATTCCAGCAGTGATTTGTGCTCATTGCCTTATTTAATTTCAAAGCAAATCGGATAACACTACTGGGGTTAGGCTAGTACAAAGTGAGGAAATCCATGTTTTAAAGATCAGGGGAAATTGCAATGGGAAATTTCGATCTGATCACATACTCATTTTTCAGTCGGGTTCACAATTTTCCCTAAGAAGAGGGCACTGTGTGTTTTCTTTTCCATAATTAGAAGGAGGTAGGGTCTGTTGATCTTAAAGATAGGATTAGGAGCAAGACCTCCAAACCTTGGTGAAAGCTCTATAACTGTGACTCCGGCGGCTTCAGTGCCACCCTCATGAATGTCCACGACAGCCTTGTGAATGGCCTGGAGGGAAATAGTGACATATTACTTGTCTTCATATGTGATGGCGGAAAGCCTACCATAACATGTGTGCTGGATGGGTAACTACCTCTGTCTTCCATGTAAATATCCAAAAGTTCCAGGTGACTCTGGGTTCTAGTATTATGAATGGTAAGATCTTCCCTCTTTCCCCCTTCTCCACCTCTGTCATGCCCCTTATTTACCTCCATTCTCCCTGTCCCTGCAAAGAAACAGGGAGTTCCTCTTCCCCCATAATCCTTTTAGATGCCCTTTTCTGAACTATCATGTCACCTCTTATTTATTTACCTTCATTGTCCCGACTTCTACATTGTAAGCTCTCCTATGGCTCAGTTGGTTAGAGCCTGGTGCTGATAATGCCAAGCTTGCAGGTTCGATCCCCGCATGCGACAGCTGCATTGCAGTTGGTTGGACTAGATGATCCTGACGGTTCCTTCCAACTCTACAGTTCTACAATTCTATAGGCTGTTGCTTTACCCTATAATTGTTTCAGATGGCCTTTTCCGAACTATTTCCTACTCTACAGTGTTCTGTTTAAGGTGTGGTGATTTGAATTGTACGTAGTATTCCAAATGTCTTGGCAACATAGATTAAGAAAAATGCATTGCCATCACACCCACAAGATGACTCAGGACACAAACGTATGGAAGAAAGGGTATATTTATTTTTTAAAATATAATGATTCTGAAGACCTCCAGAATAAGGAATCCACATTAACCAAAACAAAATATAGTCTGGGCATGGAAGCTACCTAATGCAGGAGGGATGAAAGCTCTCCTTATTCCTGGGCATGTTTACATGCATTGCCTGAGGCGGTGGAGACAACGATTGGAAACAATCATCCCCCTTCGCTCTGAACACCTTGGGTATATGAATTTGACAAGAAACCTCCACATTGGTGTTCATCCTAATGCACATGCCGAGTGAAAGGGCACAAATAATAATAGTAGCAATAATAATGCCCACAACCTGATCATTTCTCATGAAATGCTTATATAAGACAGCAATATTCAGGAACAGACCCCCTCACATACTTACTTTGGAAACATACAGATCGGGTTCACTGGTAATTCCAGACAGGTCAGCATTCTTGTTGCTAAAGACATCAGTCACACCCATTCTCTGCAATGTGTCTTTGACATCATAGGATCCAGAAATGGAAATTTTTGGAAGGTACAGGTGCATTTCTCTGATTAACAGATGGACAGCAAAATCCAAACATTAAATTATGAGTGCAAGTAATTTTGTTTAGATTACCTCCAGAAGTGCAAATAACATTGGTATGTATAATTAAACAGGGGCAAGTAGTGAATTTGTATGCTGGTGTATCAATAGCAGGGTGGTTTCTTTGCTCACCTTCTGTTTCTGTTATTTGTCTTCTATAGGAGTCTTTCCTAACCTAGTGCCATCCAGATGTTTGAGACTGAAATTGCCATCAACTTTGATGGGCAGTCCAATCTGGAAGGCACCAGGTTGGGGGAGGCTGCACTTTAGCATCAAGGAGGACCAAAACTGGAGGAGAAGAACTGACCTCCATACGATGGATTTTTACTTGGAGCCTGCTGACTCAGGAATGTCACATTTCTATAGCTGAAGAGCCAAATTCCTCATGCAATGGATCTCTGGGAGCCACACCCCTAATATTTCACCCCAAAGCACACTTCAAATTTAATTTGTTCCAAAACAAGACATTTATATTAAATTTAAAATATAAACAAATTGGTTGTGTGTGTATGTTTACTGTATATATCGGTGGCTTACTGCAACTTCTGGAGAAGATGATCAAGAGGGTTGAGGCCAAACAACTGCAGACATTTGTAGATGGGACTCTATAATCCCTGCATCTCTCTCCTTTAATTCCTATAGTTCCAGAGGTGTCTTTTATATCACATGAAAGCTCACATATAATGAGGAACTTAATGATTAAGAGAATATTTTGAAAATGGAATAAGCTGTCACGTGAATGCTGCCTACGACTATGCTTACTAGATGGATCAATGGTCTGACTTGGGATAAGCAGCTTCCTATGTATCCAAGTTAGATTTCAAAACTGATGACTCTTGTCCTGTACTGTAAAGGCATTAGCTATGATAAAGGTAGTGCTGTGCCAAACTCCACCCCCATTCCCCAAAATTCCTCATCCCTTGAGAAATTGAGGGTGTTTCTTTCTGATTCTTTCTCATGGCCTGCTTGTAAAACAGGAGTGGGGAACCTCTGGTTGACTATATGTTTTGGACTACAACTCCCATCTTCCCTGACCATTGGCTGTGCTGGCTGGGGCTGATGGGAGTTGTAGTCCAACAATATCTTGAAGGCTATAGGGTCTCCACTCCTCCACTCCATACCTGAAGGAGTGCCTCCACCCCCATCATCCAGCCTGGACACTGAGGTCCAGCGTTGAGGGCCTTCTGGCGGTTCCCTTGCTGCAAGAAGTGAGGTTACAGGGAACCACATAGAGGGCCTTCTTGGTAGTGGTGCCTGCCATGTGGAATGCCCTCCCAGCAGATGTCAGCAACTGAAGGTGGCCCTGTTTAGGGAGGTTTTTAATGTCTGATACTGTATTTAAAAAAAAATAATCAGTTGGAAGGCGCCAAGAATGGCTGGGGAAACCCAGCAAGATGGGCGGGGATAAATAATAAATTATTATTATTATATTATTATTATTGTAAAAGATAGCAAGAGCAAGGGCACAAGTCTCCACTCTTCTATCCTCATGAAATGTCTCATAATGTCTCCTCCCATCTTTTACGCCGCTCTTTTTCTTGGGGTGGTGGTGGTAGTTTTGTTTTGCCCTCTCTCCCCAAAATGGCCAAAGGAGAAATGCCATGGAATATCAGCTCAACAGCAGCAACATTTTAATTACAGCACATAGAAGACTTACTCGTATATGAAGGATCTTTTACATCTATCCAGAAATTCCATGCTCAAGCCATCCTCCACCTGCTTCATTTTCCCTTCATCTGGCAGAATGAACCATGCGCTGGCATCTCCTTTGTATGGAATTTCCACCACTGAGCAAGACAGCTCTTCATCATGGAGGAAGTTGTAATAGCCATTTCGATACATTAGGTTGACTTTCACAGTTGTATTTGCATCTACAAAAAAATCTTCTTCCTTTGTAAAGTGAGTGTTGAAAGGATATTTCCAATGGGCTTTGGAGGGAGAAAAGAAAAGAAAAGTTCCAAGAACCGAGTAAATGGATCGTGAAATTCACCAGGGCAATGGAGGACAATCTTTTTAAGCCTAGGGGCTTCAATTTCTCCTGGGAAATCTTCCAAGGGCAAAATGCCAATTGTGAGTTGGGGCCAGAGGTATAAATGCTCAGAGAAAGACTTCCCCACCGATCTCTCTATCCTTGATCCAGGGAATCAGGAGGTATTGCCGCACCTCAAGGACACATTCCTGCCATGCAAATGCATGGAGGATGTGGAACAGATAGGCTGAGGGATGCAGCCTGGGGGATACAATTCTCTGTGTTGAAAAAAATACAGAGCAGGGTCAGTGGGAGACATGACCCTGAGGAAGGGAATATGGTCTGGGAAGAGTCCCGAGGAATGGATAGCGAAGTCTGGAGGAGAAGTTTCCTACCCCTACACTAGCAAAGCAAAGGTAAGCACAGATCATATCTTATTGTCCATTAGAAGTATCCCTGCTTCCATGTTGACCTTCTGTGATGTTGAACAAGCTGAAAGACCCAACACATAAACCAACATAAAAGAATGGGGAAGTCTCTCTACCCCCCATTTCTTTAATTAAAAAAAACCCCTATGATTCCATGCTATGACTTTCATTCTACCTCAAAACCAAAACTCCCCTTAATTACTGGTAATTTTATTACACCTGCCTGTGTGCCTGTATGGCTGTTTATTTGCATATACAAAACCCTTATTATTCTGAGGATGCCTGAAGATGATTTTGAATTTTTATTTTATTCCAGTATTGCAATTACAAAAGCCAGTGGCAGAGCAAAGTAGATTAGAAGATGCCTGGAGATATTTTTATTTTTTACAAACCCCCAATTTATTTATCTTTCTTTCAACTTACCTTTGAAGAAGATGTAGTTCAGTAAAACCATCACAGTCGTTGGATCAAGCTCATCAACCGCATGGGGTATTTTCCCATGAGTTTTGGCCTGCACATAATCATTTATTTGAGTTTTAGCTGCCGATGAATTCTGGAAGTTGGATGAAAAGGCTTCAGCTCCATACAAGGTTTTGATATCTTCCAGGAATTTTGGAAGTATTTTCAGCGGCTCATCTATGAATAAGGCATTCCCTGTGTTAATCAGGGCCTTGTTGTTTGGATCATTCAGGGCACTGATGAGCTGATGGAATCCTTTGTGTATTTTGTGCTCTTCAGTCTCCGAAAGGTTAAAAGCAAGTCCTTTGTAAATTTGGCTTTGTGTTTCAGATTTGGCACCCAGCGTCAGTGCTGCAAAAATGCTGGAGATGCTGACCGGAGAGAAGAAAATATTTTTGGCAGCTTCACCTAAAGCTATTTGTTTGTGGAATCTAAATGCAAAGTTGGCATTACTGGGAGCAATCTCATGAGCGTACGTCAAGTTTTGACCCTGTTCTTCTTCCACAGAAGGATATGGGTGTTCAAATATCATTTTATCTCCATGACCCTCAGAGTCCTTAGGCTGTCCTGGGATGTGGTGACAGTGAACTTGGAGAACACTCAGTAGTAAGGAGAGGGAGATTAAGGCCTTCATTAGGATTGGTAAGTATTCTTCGACAATGAAAATATCCTACAAACAGTAAAAGAGCCATTTTTAATCAAATTATTCTGTTCAACTCTGTTTAAAGGACAGGGTTTTGTTCAAGAATTCAACCCACTGGACATGAAATAGTGGGTTGTGCTAGTAATTCACACAACATATTTCATCCATGGAGCATGTGAATAGAATAAGACATTTCAAAAGTTAGATATGCTGTTTTGTTAGGATAATGACATTTTAATAAAATGTTATTTCCATTTTTTTAAAGAAAAACTATTAAGTTATTCTGAATATAAAACATCTTTATGTTTCTGTTTCCTAACCCGCATTCTAGAATGATCATAATGCATTTAATGTTTTCATTTAAAATATATGTTTGCATCATTATCAAATCATCTTCCGCCAAGTAAAAACCATTTGATTTTCTTTTGGAGACTTGTGCGAAGGGGTTGACTTTTCTTTTTCATGGAAGGTGGGGGAAGAGAGAAAATGGATGAAGACTTGTACTGTCCTGTTCCCATGCATAGATTTCAATAAAACATAAAGAGGAAAAGAAAAATGCGTATCATACTTACAGAATCTCCAACTGACTCTAGGGGCTATGTGATTCCTTGCTTAGTTATGCATCAGACTTATATAATACTTAGTCTTCAGCATTAACCATTAAGCAGAACAAACATGGATTATCAAAGGGACACAATGTGAAGCAATGGATTTTCAAGTGGTCTCTAGACTTTGCACAATGGTATCAGCAGCCAAGATAAGGGGTCCTTTGAATGGCCTACAAACCTGATGGCACCAAGCCATCTTGTGGCCCTGAGTCTCCACTCATACTCTCCCAAGTTTTCACAGATGGAAATAGCTACATTTCCTCAACTCTTTCGGTTTCAGGTCAGGGTATGGGGATCCTCAGGCCTCTCTGTCTGGGCCCCCAAACTCTCTCCATGCTGCTCTCCATACTTCTCTCCCCACAGGCTGTATTCTTCCCTCTCACCGCCTGTTTTCTTGAAAGTTTTTGCTTGGCTAAAATGTGTCCATGAACTCTGATAATGCATCCTGTTTATCTAAGTGGAGGTCAGAGCGGGATGTAGAAACTAGCCTACTGTACAAAGGTAAAATTTACATTTGTCTGTCTTCACTTTTGCTCAGTGCTTTTTTTATATAGAAAAAAAGGTGCTGCTACTTACCATAAAGTTCTTATAGTAGGTGCCACACTTTTAACATTTGACAAAAATTGTGCCAGAAATTAAAAGACGCCTGCTCCTTGGGAGAAAGGCGATGGCAAATCTAGACAACATCTTAAAAAGTAGAGACATCACCTTACCAACAAAGGTCCGTATAGTTACAGCCATGGTTTTCCCAGTAGTGATGTATGGAAGTGAGAGCTGGACCATAAAGAAGGCTGATCGCCGGACTATTTACAAAAATATTATAAGTTGTATGAATGTTAAAAACTGCACAATTTGGAAGTTTTAGCTTCAGCAATAAGATTCCTGAAACAGGAAATTAAGTTACAAGTAAGAAAAGGTTGAAATTTAAAGTATTACTATGGTCGATTTAAGGTACAAGTAATTGACAAAAAGTATTTTAAATTTAAAAATATAATATTTGAAAGGTACAAAACAAGATGTGAAAAAAGGTAATAATTTGCTGACATTTTTATTGTAAAGAATGCATGGTAGGGGAGATGTGAGGAAGTCCGGTTGGTTATGTAAAAATGTTTTTGAAAATTGGATTTTTTCTTCTTTCTTTCTTTGTTTCCTTTATTTCCTTTCTATGGCTTTTATATCTCTGTTTGTGTATTTGAAAATGTAATAAAAAATATTTTTTTAAAATAAAAAAAAAAGAAGGCTGATCGCCGAAGAATTGATGCTTTTGAATTATGGTGCTGGAGGAGACTCTTGAGAGTCCCATGGATTGCAAGAAGATCAAACGCATCCATTCTTAAGGAAATCAGACCTGAGTGCTCACTGGAAGGACAGATCATGAAGTTGAGGCTCCAATACTTTGGCCACCTCATGAGAAGAGAAGACTCCCTGGAAAAGACCCTGATGTTGGGAAAGATGGAGGGCACAAGGAGAAGGGGACGACAGAGGATGAGATGGTTGGATAGTGTTCTCGAAGCTACAAACATGAGCCTGACCAAATTGCGGGAGGCAGTGGAAGACAGGAGTGCCTGGCGTGCTCTGGTCCATGGGGTCACGAAGAGTCGGACACGACTAAACAACTAAACAACGACAACAACACACTGCGTGCCCTTGAGTAGCCCCCCCCCAGCACTGTTTTTGCCCATGCTCTTTCCCATTACTGGAAGGTGGCCCTCAGAAGCTTGCATAGCAGCCAATGTCACCCTCTGGCTGATCAAGGGTCCCATACCCTGTTTTAGAAAGCTACCTCTTTTTAGATAATTTTTCAAAAACATAAGAACATGAGAATGCCCTCCCTTCAGATGTCAAGGAGATTAAGAACTACATAACTTTTAGAAGACATCTGAAGGCAGCCCTGTATCAGGAAGTTTTTAATGTTTGATGCTTTATTATGTTTTATATATTCTGTAAGCCACCCAGAGTGGCTGACAAAACCCAGCCACGTGGGTGGGGTATTATTATTATTATGCCTGCTGGATCAGTTCAATGGCTCATTGACTCACAGTGGCCAACCAGATACTTATGGGAAGCCCACAAGCTGTCCCAGTGTGCAGAGGTATGCTTTCTTCCAGATGCAAAGATGTGACAGAGAAATTGCCAAGTCTTATAAATCCCATTGACCACTACCCTTTCCTTCTGATTCATGTGGGAACAAGCAATACTGCCACATACAGCTTCAGCATACAGCAATGGGCTATGAGGCAGGAATCTGAAGAGCCGTAGGGCACAGGTTATTTTTTCATCACTCCACCCTGTTGAAGTTCATGGTCCAGGAAGAGAGAATAAAATACTGGAAGTAAATAACTGGCTGCACAGGTGGTGTCATCAGGAAGGGTTTGGCTTCTTGGATCATGGTCTCTGCTTGAAGAAGGACTTTTGGAGGAGATGGGCAGCACTCCACAGCAGTTGGCAAGAATGTGTTTGCTAAGAGTCTCACAAATCTGATCAGGAAAGCTTTAAACTAGATCCTGAGCAGGAGGCAGACAACAATACAGTAGACAGAGGAACATCTAGGACAGGGGATAATGATGGTGCTCCAGAAACCTGATAAAGGGCAGGAAATTACAAGAAGGAAGTAGCTGGAAGGAATGACATGGTTTCAGTTGTCTCTATACCAATGCACAGAGTATGGGAAGTAAGCAAGATGAATAGTAATTCTATGTAAAGGATGTGTTTAATCGTGACCCGGAGCATGGAAAGTAGATTGAGAGTATATGGGTAAAAATAGTAGGCCAATGGCCTCAATGTGGGTGTCTGCTATAGACCGCCAAGCTAGACTGAAGACTTGGATGATTCCTTCCTAAAGCAGATTACCAAACATTACAAAAGGAAAGATATTGTTGTTATGGGAGACTTCAATTACTCCAATACCTGTCAGGACTCTGCCAAACATGTAAAGGCCTACAAATTCCTCCATTGCCTTGCAGGCAATTTCATTTCCCTTACGGTGGAAGCCATGACAAGGTCTTGAACCTGGTCCTCATAAACAGAGAGGAACTGACTAAAGATAATATTGTTCACAACCACCAGTGCATCCTTTTGATTGAAGCAATCAATGGCACGGGCTATTTCCTCACGGCTTTATCTCCCTATATAACCTTTAATCTGTTTTTCTGCCTCTGTGAAATTGGAAAAGTTATTCAAAAAGCCTTCAGCTTTATATATGGTTCTGACATTTTCCAAAAACTGAGGGAGGATTTTCCTTGAACACGTTATGAACAAGGCATTCCCTATGTTCACCCAGGCTTTGTTGCCTGGATGGTGAAGCTTAAAGAAGAGCTGGCGGAATCCTCTGTGGCTCTTAGCCTCCATGATCTGTGACAGTTTAAATGCAAGTCCTTTGTAAATCAGTCTAGGGGTCTGAGATTTAGCCCCAAGGCTGAGCGTTAAAAAGGGTGTGGAAATGCTTAGTGGAGAAAATATTTTGGGCAGCTGCCTCAGAAGCAATTTCCTTGTATAATCAACATGCACCGTTGATTCCTTGTAGAATGAAAATGCACAATCTTATGCCAGTCACATTTTGCTTGGAATAGAGTCAAAGGTGGGCGTTGCTTTTAAGATTGATTTTTATTCCCATGATCAGCATGGTCTTTGGGCTGCCCTGGGTTGTGATGACAATAAACTGGAAGAGCAATCACTAAGAAGAAGTAAATGATAGACTTTCCTGGAACTTGTAATTCTTCTGCCAAAGATAAAATAAATCACATAGATGACATTTGTCAGGTTTAGCACTTCTCTCACACAAGACAACATTAGAGGCTCAACCAACTGCTAAATGCTGATGGTACTTCTAATTTGGAATAGAGCTGTTTGGCAAAGAGCTGTGTAAACAACCCCTTTGGAAATCCAAAACTCAAGGTTGTTGTTTTTTCAAATAAACCAACTGTATTAAAGATACACACACACTTTACATTTTACTACATAGAAAAACTATTATATTTATCCATATTTACATTATATGTATATTTTGTAAATTCAACAAGCAATTTCCATTCATCCTTCTTCCCCCACTCTGTCACTCAATGAATGATTCCCCCCTTTATTAGGCTAACTTGGAATTATTCAATGAAGCAGTAGCTTCAATTTCTCCTTCATCCAACATATTTATGTAAGGCAATGTTTCCTCTTTAATTTTAATTGTATAGCACCTACGCCCATATCAAAAAATATACTAAAAGATATACCCCACGTATATCATTTCTTTAGTCTCCCAGTCAGAAAACATAATTCATGGTTATTTTTTGCAGGGACACTGGTGAGAGATCTATGAAAAAAAGTATTTGATTTTCACTCCCAGTTTTGCAAATTCTGGATTATCTCTAGCTGTTCTTAATACGAAATCTTTTGACTTATTCAAGAAAGTCATTAGCACATCTCTATTCA